TACAAAAGAGGGGGCGAAGGCCATTTGGCCTTCACCCACGTTTTTCATTTCGAACTTTCAAGTTCAAGTTTCCCGCCCTCCCACCCTAGCATAAGATGCACAATGCTATTCTGTTGTATAATGCTTGGACGATAAAATCTTGTACTTGCCAGTTGAAATGAGACGTTGCATTTGCAAGGCAAATCGCGAGCTTTCACAATAGTTGCATTACTTTGTGTAGTGTAACATTTCTCTTGGTGTAGGCCCTTGTGGAGGGTAGTTTCGAGACCCTTCGTGGTTGGGGACAGTGTGGCACTGTTCCACATCACTGTACCTCGGCTCTTGGGGTTTGTAGGAGTTGGGAGTCATTCCCAACTCGTAACTCTTCCTATCTTGTGCTCTAAGACTATAGTGGCTGCCATAGTACCGTTCGTTCAAACCGACCCTGTGTCGTCAATTCTTTATGAAATCGTGCAATCTAAATTGCTTATTGTAGGCGACATAAAGACGCTCCAGATCCAATTTGAATCAAGTCATTTGCAGCTTTGAGCAGAAATCCGTCTGTGCTCTCTATCTTTCGTTTTAGGCACATTCAAGCCTATTGTGACTATAACATGATTCAGTCACGTGCGGTCGCGAATGAGTGACAAGCGCCTGTCCATACACATCAGTTTAACTGCGGCACAAATCCAGAAACATGTCAGTACGAGCACCGTAGTTTTGCTTTGAGTTTTTGTGACCAAGCAACGAATCCAATCCCCCAAAACACTGACCTGTCCATCTGCTTCACGCGCCGCTTCTTCATCTTGCGCACGACAGCCACAATGTGGCTCATGATGCCCAGGTCCGCCTGGTGCATGATGTCAGGCATGACAACGAGGTAGGGATTGCCCCACGCGGTCCCTGGGACATCCCACTTCTAGAGCACACACTGGAAACCGGGGATGTGGTGGGGAATGGAGGAGATCTGTACTTGTGAGACCCGGGCAGCCAACGTAAACAAAATGCCTGGTGATTTGAATGGGGCACAGCACATCTGACCATTCCTCAGGAATAAGAAGTGCATAGACTGCACAGGGTGGCGGGCAACATGTCGCTTACTTCAACAGGGTAGGTCGAGTAGGTCTTGCAGGGGTTGTCCTGGTTAGTTGTCATCCTAGCCGTCTTGTTAACGATCCATTGCTGCTGTTCAGGCGTGCGCGGCGTGTTCCGTGCCTTGACAGCAACTTGATGCTCCTGTTATCGCACGGGGGTGTGGGATGGGATACAAAGGTAAGGGTGGTGAGTTCATGGGTTGTATAAGGCGACATTCAAACGACAATGTCTTTGGCATGAAAGCTCACCTTTGCAGCATAGCAGATGCTGCACGGCATCCGTGATCCATGCAAGAGTGTGCAACTGATCTTGCCGCTCTCAGGGTAGTCGCACACCCACGCGTACAGCAGGGGCCGCACGGTTTGCCAATCACCGAAAGGGTCCCTAAGACGGAACCCGCTGCAAGGAACAGGTAGAGTGGCATCAGGAATTGGGAGGACATGATTTGTGCATGTACGAAGAGGGGCAAAGGGGACTGCTACATATCGTGACGCCCTGCATACTATGCAGGTGATTGGGTGACGACATAGCAAGATGCAACACCGGGTACGGACCTTTCCATGCCATCGAGAAGTGGCTGCAGCACAGTGGTGACGCATCGCTGGAAGAGCATCACCTTCTCCACGGCAGACATTGCAGAAGGGGGGATAGGAAGGAGGGCAAGTAGCGTGTGGCCGGCTTTCCCCCATCGTTTGGCCTGGGAGATGTTGGCAAGCGTCATCATGAGCGGCCACGCCTTCTTCCGGCCGTTGTTGCTCATGTGCGTCACATCCGAATATAGGATGATTCCCCCCACGACTTGGGTCCATCCTAAGTGTTCCTGCAATGCACGACAAGGCGGCAACGGACACACGGTCAAACACCACCAAGGTAACTGGTCGCCAGGTGGGTTAAACGACCTTCATAGCATATTCATCAAACATGACACACTCATCATGCACGAGACACATCAGCGCAGCAACGGAGGCATGAGCACGGATCCGGTTTTGGGTGGCAACGGGGTATATCCATACCTGAGCATCATTCCACCACGTTCCTGTTTCCGGCGTGGTATAGCGACGGTCGCCTGTGTCAGGGTCCTCATCGACCCGCGCCTTGAGCTTGAAGCCGGGCGCGTTGTTGGTATGCCCAAATAGTTCAGCGAATGCCTGGTTTACGGTGGCGAAGGCAGTAGAGAAGAGAGGCATGGTTAGATGCGTGGATTGGTGGGTCCGATCTCATACAAGGAGAACGAATATAACTTCAGACAAGCACCACAAGGTTGCCACATCAGCATTTCATTGCCAAGGATTCAGAGTCGGCTTACCTGAGCTGAGTTTTGGAATAGCAGGCGCTGAGGCAGATGACCGTCAATCTCGAATGTCGCCACCGACCATCCGCAATTGAGCCCTGCCAAGCGCTCCATCTCGAACCGCTCCAGATCCTTGCAGTTCCTGAGCTCCGAGGTCACAAGAGGCGCAAGGCCGGGCTCTACCACGAGCTGAAGCAAGCCAGTGATGTCAACCTCTGCCATTCCAATTCCGCCATTCACACACCGAACGAAACGAAGCAGCTTCAACGCGAGCGGATTGAGGGGCGTGGCATCGCTCTGTCCGGAGATGGTTGTAGGCGGCGAGGCTTGACTCCCTTCAGGCTGGCTCTCAGGATGCTCACTCGTGTCAGCTGCAAGTGTTCCTGGTTGCGGTTGATGTTCATCTTCCGGAGCCCCCTTGTTAACGTCCGAGGGTGTTTCGTCCTCGTCAGCTTCAGGCACGCGAGGAGCACCGCTCACACTGACGGTGTTGGATGCGTTAGACGCGGTAGGTGAAGTGGGATCAGCGGGAGCGTCCGAGAGAATGTTGTGACAAGGGGTCCGCCGTGACTTATGACCGCCATAAACTTGGGCGTTGGGGAACCATCTGTTGCAGAACTCGCAGACAACGCCTGGCAAAGAGCCCATGTGTTACGGATCCGCCTTAGAGTGGAGTAATGGCCTATGAAGCAACTAGCCTGTTTGACGTTTGTGAACGCATATACACCGTCAACGAAGGCTGTGACTGCAACACGGTCATTGCCAAAGTGCGAACTCTCCATGGCGGCTTGTATCTCTGCACGACTGGCACTTGAGCGTGGCGCGATGGTTAGGGACTGGCTAACGATGGTCGAGCAGCGCGGCCGTGAAAAGGCACGATACAGACCGCCAACAGCACGGCATTTCCCTTTCCTACAAGGCATGTCGCCCCCTCTTAGAGCGACCACGACGTGAGCAGGGCCGTATGCACTGGAGTTTAGCACGCTTGGTCGTGAGGGTGCGTCGCGAGCACGGTGAGAAGTACGTGCCTCTTGATTCAAAACTTGGGTTTTTGAATCGTGCGTGAGAGTCGAGGGGGATGAGGAAGAGAGGGAAGAGATCTGTTTGGTGCTGTGATTCTTTCTCGAGTAGCTATAGGGGGAAAATCGCAATCACGTAGGTGAGCCCAAAGTGGTGCGCACCTTTAGAGACTTAATCCAAACCAGGTAATGACAATGTACAGTTACATTTTACATAGAAACTCGATTCAATTAAAATTAGTATTATACAAACATACTTATGGGCCTGCACAAAAACAACCCCTAATTGACAACGATATTGTTTGTAAACCCTCCTAGTTCTCTAGTGTGGTATGGAAACATATGGGTACAACCCATGAACTCATTGTGTTTCCGTAAGATTGTTGCATGTACCGGATATGTATATCGTCACTTCACAAGAGGTTTTGGGGACCTCAAAGCACCGTGCTGAATTAACATGCAAGAATGGAGCCCAATCTAATACAATAATACAACGGTTTCGTCGTCGGATGCAATACCACAACGGTTTCACCATGACATGCAACACATGGGAGTGAACGATGCAGCGTCGCCTTGTCTGAACATGGCTGTCGATAACGCATCACCGCTTGTGCGTTAGCCCTGTCCTTCATACCACTCCCTTTATGCACCTTTTATAAGGTCCATGCAAGAATTGAGCCCAATCCAACACCATACCACAACGGTTTCACAATGTCGCGCAAAACATGGGCCTGGACGATGCAGCGTCGCCCTGTCTGAACATGGCTGTCGATAACGCATCACCGCTTGTGCGTTAGCCCTGTCCTTCATACCACTCCATTTATGCACCTTTTATAAGGTCCATGCAATAATTGAGCCCAATCCAACACCATACCACAACGGTTTCACCATGTCGGCACTATTGAAAAACGTGTTAGATTTCGTACAGCGACGCGTAACCATTGTGGCATAGCCTAATAGTGCTCAGTTAAATTGTATGAAGTAATAATTCTGGACGCTCTTTGTGTGTGTGACATGATACAAACCCACTACCTTACATCAACCCCAGACTATTACATTAGCAACCAGTTTTTTTTTTGTATTTGTTGTAGTTTTAAATGTTATTTAGCTTGTATGTGCAACATTGTTCGTTCGCGACATCACTGTACTTTGCAGGGTTTAGGTTCCTTTCGCCCAATTTGTTCAAAAACAGTTCCAGCATGACAATTCATTTGTGCGTTGGCGACACTGATTGCCCGACGCATCTCAAACGACCCCTCCCGCAACACAAGCACCCGCCAAGCGGTACTTCCGCCATTGTGCGGCTGTGATCGAGTGGTGGGTGGGTTTATGATCGGGTGGCTACACGTACACCGTCCGATCTAGCCTGATCTGATTACAGTAATCTCTCTAGTCGCGCAAGCCACCCCAACCACCCTCGTGCCCCACCCACCTGCTTCCGTCACCCTCTGGCCCACAACTTTGACGTTGCTCGATGTTTGACACAGGCGTTTCTAGATCGCCCGTGTTAGGTCATGGGCCGGAGCTCCAGCTGACTACTATGTCAGTATTGATTGAAGGCGGAGGTTTTCGGAGAGAGATGACAGAATTCGCAAATTCGCATTCCTAAAACAAACATGACACGTGCAACACGGCATAAAGAAAAGGAGGAGGAACAGGTCGGACGTCGCGCGACAAGGAGGCTGTCTCAACAGACCGATAGGGAGGGTGGTGGCGGCTCTAAAGGTACTAATGCGTCCGCCGCGCGTGGCAGAGTGGTGAAAAAATTGGCGGGAAAAAAGGCCGCGTTTGGACAGGAGAAGTCCGGCAAGAAGGCGGAAGAGAAGGAGAAGACTGCTACTACTGCCACAGGGAGCGTGAGTCTTGCAGTCCCGTCGGCGGAGAGAGAGGGGTCGGCGACAGGGGGAAACCATGGCGACTCTCCCCGCGCCGAGCATGGCGCAACCCAGGAGTCCGAGGCAGAGGCATCCCAACATGGAGTGACGCTGCTCCAGCCGACCATGGTCGAAGTTGCTGCTGCCGTGGTGGATAAGGCCAAGGCGGGGGAACACAGCATCGCCGACGTAGGTGGCTCTCCTCCTTCTGGTGGACGTGGGAGGCGTAGGCAGAGGAAGAGCGATGGGGAAGAAGAGTATGACACCACCGTGCCCGGGGACATCAATACGCGGTCGAAGAGGCGGCAGACAAGCCGCGGTGCTGACGACGCCGGTGGTGCGGAAGTTGGGACAACGCGAGGCGCCAGGGAAGCAAGTGGCCAGGCGACGGGTCATGCATTGCGCAAGCAGGGCCGACCCGCAGCGAGGAGAACATCCGGCGGAAGGAGGGGCAAGAAAGATGAGGGGAATGCGGGGGATGAGGAGGAGGAGGCTGAGGAGGAGGAGGATGCGGAGGATGAAGAGGATGCGGAGGAGGAGGACGCGGAGGTTGGGGAGGAAGAAAAGGATGAGAATGATGACGAGGAGGACGAAGAGGAGGAGGAGGAGGAGGACGAGGAGGGGGGCGACGAGGATGAGGAGGAGGCGGAGGAGGAGGAGGAGGAGGAGGAGGAGGAGGAGGAGGAGGAGGAGGAGGAGGAGGAAGAGGAGGAGGAGGAGGAGGAGGAGGAGGAGGAGGAGGAGGAGGAGGAGGAGGAGGAGGATGTGGCGGCAGTTGTGAGAATTGAGAAGGAATGAATGAACTAGAAACGAGATGGGTACAAGTAGAGAACACAAAAGTGTTGTACCCTCTAGGAACTACCCCACTACAGCCTAAACAGACTATGGCAGATATAAGTTTGACACACCCCCATAGGCAAAGTGGGGGAGAACAAGAGGTCACAAGACCAGTCAAGAAAGACAAAGCAAGCTCAGGGTGGATCACAAAGTCACCACGCAGTCTGAGCACAAGCAAAGGGCCACAAGGCCAGTTCACATGCAGAGTTATATAAAGGAAAGCAAAGAATACAGTGAACACAACCTAGCAAGCGTAAGCATGCAGGTATAAGTATATAGAGTACAGTACAAGCAGAGTCAAGAAGAAAGCAAGTGAGGCACAGTAGGTACAAGGCCTAGAACAGTACAGAAACGCTGATGATCACAAGGCTGAAGTGCCTTGGTGAAAACATCAGCAGTGTTGGCCTGTGAGGCCACGTAAGCAAGACGAAGCTGGCCACGCTCCTGCAACTCTCGAGCAAGGAAGTAGCGCAGAGCAATGTGCTTCGTTCTGTGCTCCAGTCTGTGCTCCTGACACAAGGCCAACATGGCCTTGTTGTCGACGTACAGAACTGGAGGAGAATGAGGCGCCTCTCCCAAGTCGGTCAGCAGGTAGGTGAGCCAGCGAAGCTCCTGCGCAGCCATGGCCCCAGCGTAGATCTCAGCCTCACAACTGGAGCTGAGAACAGAAGAAGAGCAGGTAGACCGCCAAGAGACAGAACCGGAGCCAAGGCTGAAGGTGTAACCCTGTGACGACCGCTGCGTAGCCAAGTCGTCAACCCAGGAGGCGTCAGCGTGACCAGTGAGGACAACTCGAGCCCGTCCTCCAAGCACGAGCCCCATGCCCGATGTACTGCACAAGTATCGCAACACCCTCTTCGCAGCATCCCAGTGCACCTTTCGGTGCCTGCCGGGAGCCACGTAGCGAGCCAGAAGGCTGAGAGGGTATGCGAGGTCAGGTCGTGTGCAAGTCATCAGGTACATGAGGCAGCCCACAAGCTCTGGATACGTGCCACTCGGCTCTACGGACTCGTCCGAAGGTGGAGCTGAGAGCGAGTGACCGGTAGGCAGAGGAGTGGACTGTGGCGAGGAGTACGTGAAGCCGAAGCGCTGAAGGACCTGCTGCACCATGTGTGACTGAGTCAAGGTAATGGTGCGCTGTGCTCTGTCCCGGGTGATCCGCAAGCCAAGATAGCTTGTGAGCTCACCCAGGTCTGTGCACGTGTGTCTCTTCTGCAGCTCGGACTTCACGTGGGAGAGTGCCTCAGTGTCAGCAGTAGCAAAGACGAGGTCGTCTACGTACACGAGAACGTAGAACGGCGGCAGAGTAGTGTCAGTGCGTAAGAACAGAGAAGGGTCAGCAGTGGAAGGAGCAAAACCAAGAGCAGCAAGAGTCGTCCTGAGTGTGTCGTGCCACTCACGGGGTGCCTGGCGGAGACCGTAGACTGGCCGCCGGAGGCTCCACTGGGTACCAGGAGGAAACGACCCAGTGAAGCCAGGTGGGCGGCGCAGCCAGATCTCCTCGTGGAGGCTGCCCTGTAGGAAGGCTGTGCTGAAGTCAAGCGAGTGGAGCTCGTAGTCACGCTGAGCAGCAACGTGCAGCAGTACCCGAAGAGTGGTCATCTTTGGGGTAGGGGAGAAGGTCTGAAAGAAGTCAACTCCCTGACGCTGACTGAAGCCACGTGCAACGTAACGCGCCTTGAAGGCAGGCGGAGAACCCGGCGGCCGCTTCACCCTGAAGATCCACATGCCACTGACGATGTTCGCCCCAGGTGGGGGAACCTCGTCTACGTAGGTGCCTGTGGACTTCCAGGAAGCCATCTCTGCGTCCATGGCTGCCTGCCACTGAGAGGAGTAGGGACCCTTTATCGCCTCTGCGTAAGAGCGCGGGGTCGGGATGTCTATGTTGGTGCAACCCTACGGTTTGCACTCGGCTTGTTGTCCGTGTGCGTGAATGTGTGTGTGTATGGAATGGTATGAGGGCATGGGATAATATATATTTCATGCTTATAATTGTGTGTGAATGTTGAGTCATGATGTCGAGTGTGTGTGTCGAGTCAATAGCGAGTTATCGCTAGACGCGTGTTACGCGGTCGTTTGTGTCTCGCGCGCGGTTTCTATTTTGTCGTGCGCGGTTTCTATTTTGTCCTGTGTCGAACGTTCGGCGTGTCGCAGGTGTGTGCAGCAGACCCATCAAGAACTCAAGGATGAGTTTGTGATGAAGAGCCCGAGCCTTGGTGTCAAGCCTCAAGTGATTTCGAAGCTCGCCAAAAGGGTACACCTCAAGATATTGAAGATAGTTACATTACTTTGTGTAGTGTAACATTTCACTTGGTGTAGGCCCTAGTGAAGGGTAGTTTCGAGACCCTTCGTGGTTGGGGACAGTGTGGCACTGTTCCACATCACTGTATCTCGGCTCTTGGGGTTTGTAGGAGCTGGGAGTCATTCCCAACTCGTAACTCTTCCTATCTTGTGTTCTAAGACTATAGTGGCTGCCATAGTACCGTTCGTTCAAACCGACGCTGTGTCGTCAATTCTTTATCAAATCGTGCAATCTAAATTGATAATTGTAGACGACGTGAAGACGCTCCAGATCCAATTTGAATCAAGTCATTTGCAGCTGTGAGCAGAACGCTATCAACGTTTGAAGCCGCTGTGCAGAAATCCGTCTGTGCTCTCTATCTTTCGTTTTAGGCACATTCAAGCCTATTGTGACTATAACAAGTGGTATCAGAGCCCCTTGGAGCAGTTTCGACAATGGATGGACCTGAGGAAAGGGGTGGCAGAGTTGCTGGTGGCAGTGGAGAAGCCCAAGCTCAAGGCCAACCCCGTGATTCAGCCATGGCGCCCATGCAACCAAGTCTTGGCCCACCTAGGGATGAGCCTAGGGTGTTTGGGCTTGACAAGTTCAACGGTGACAACTTTGCTGAATGGTCCTTCAAGATGGAGAACATCTTTGACCACTATGACCTGCTGGAGGTGATGGAAGGAACGGAGAAGCGCCCCGAGAACGACCCGGAGAAGAGCCCGTGGGTGCGGAAGAGCGCACAAGGCTATCTCCTACTTGGGCAAGCGTTGGGGAGCAGCCAGATCCGTCACATCAAACCATTCCAGCGTGAACCAGAGAAGGGACCAAAGGCATGGGCTGCTCTCAAGGGTGTACATGCTCCTGCAACAGCGGCGGTAGCGGTGGTGTTGGAACGGCAAATGGCGGCACTACGAATTGAAGAAGACGAAGCGGTTGAAGAAGGGGTGCAGAAATTCTTCGACTTGTTGACGCGGCTTGAGGGAGCTGATTTGAACTACAGTGAGCTCCAAAAGAAGACCAAGTTGCTGGCCTTACTCCCAGAGTCATGGTCCTCTCTCATCATCAACCTCAATCGTGACTTGCCCCACCTCTCGCTCGAAGACGTGAAGCGAGCGATCCTTCAAGAGGATTTCCGTCGCCGTGAGTTGGCGAGTGCGGATGGCGCCGGGGCAGCAAGCATCGGCCGTGGATATGGCCGTGGAAAGGGCAGAGGACGAGGAGGAGGAAGGTTTGGAGGCAGCAACTTCAACGGAGGCCGCGGGAGTAGCGGATACGGCAATGACAACAAGAACAACGGACGCGGTCGCGGACGGTTCGACGGCGAGTGTCATTTTTGCCACAAGAGCGGACACATGTGGCGCGATTGCTACAAACTCCCTGATGGATGGACTCCTGCTCAAGGCCAAGAGGGTAGAGGAGCAGGAGGAGGGAGAGGAAGAGGCCGTGGAGGCCGTGGCGGTCGCGGAGGTGGTGCTGCAAGTATGAAGAGTGCCGGCAACGAGAGCGAGTCGAGGGGCGATCGCTTCCCGGGTCAATTCTTCTTCGTGTCCACGCAAGCACCGGCTGGTCCAGAGAATGATGAAAGCTTTGAGGAGCCAGCAGCTGTGGGGAAGGTCACACTACACTCCCTGGACTATTGGGTGATCGATAGCGGCGCTACCTATAGCATGACACCTCGTGCGGACTTGCTCACCGAACTTGAGCCGTCACCGGTGAAGCATGTGACATCGGCTTTGGGGCAGCGAGCAGAGGTGAAAGGCATGGGCAAGGCCATGTTCAAGGGTGCTGACTCAGCACGCGCAGGCTCAGCACCTCCAGACACAGTACCCTCAGGCGCCACATCCCCAGGCTCAGCACACCCAGTCTCAGCACCCCCAGACTCAGCACCCCCAGTCTCAGCACCCCCAGACTCAGCACCCCCAGTCTCAGCACCCCCAGTCCCCGCACCCGCAGGGTCAGCACCCCTAGCAGCACCTGAGTCGACAGCTACCTCGACCGGCTCGGCAGGGTCTACCTGGGACACACCTGAGGGGGCAGGACCCTGGGGGGGGAGGGGGTCTACCAGGGGAGTACCTGGTGCCAGGAAGAGTGGCCGGGGGGGGGGGGGAGAGGCAGTGCGGTAGGGAAAGAGACGGTAGTACGACACCGACTCGTCGAACGTGACGTCCTGAGAGGACAGAACACTAAGCGAGGTGGGGTGGTAGAACTGCCACCTGGGTGCGTCAGGAGGGAAGCTAAGGAAGACACAGGGAACGGCACGGGAGGACAGCTTGTCCGCTGTAGTATCGCGGACAAAAGCTCGAGATCCCCAGACTCGGAACGCTGACGCATCGCCAACCTTCCCCGTCCACCTCAGTGTAGGTGTGGTCTCCGGCAAGGAGACACGAGGCTGAAGGTTGATCTGATGCGCAGCGTACTGAACCGCGAACGGCCACAGAAAATGGGGAGCAGCCGCATGGATCATGGACGTACGAGCGACGTCCATGACCATGCCAATGCGGCGCTCAGCAATCCCATTTTGCTGCGGGGAGACCGGAAGCGTGAACGTCTGGCGGATGCCCTCAGAACGACAGAAGGCTCTCAGGAGGTCGGAGGAAAACTCCCCGCCTCTGTCTGAGTGCAAACGCAGAACAGGAAGGTCTGAGCCGAAACTCTCACTAAGCTGGCGACGAGC